TTCATGTTTTATAATTTATTATTATTTTATATAAATTATATTTTATTTGAATCAAAACATGACCATGTGACATTATTAGATATTATACCCGGGTTTTACTCGGTTTAAATTAACTAAACTTGTTTAAATATGGTATTAAAATTTGTCAAAATTGGAAATTTTTTCAATGGTTTTCTATATTTAGTAAATATATCAATCCATAAATGGAATCTGCAAATTAAGTTTTGTTTGTTTTCATTTTTTCGATTTTATAATAAAAATGTTATAATAAATACTATTTTAAAAAAACCAGACAACACCAAATACAGTAAAACCTCCCAAGAGCGGGAGGGCGTGGTAATTTTGTTCTCTCAAGAGCGGGCATTTTTAGCCAATCAAACCTTAAAAACCGCTCGATAGAGAACTCTATTTTTAGTTTCGGTCTAAAAAATGCCCGCTCTTGAGAGAACCCACTCTTCGGAGGTTTTACTGTATTTACTGTTTTTTATATGTTTTATTTTTTATTTTCCTGTTTGTTGAACCAACAACGGTACACAAATTTAAACCCTTAAAAATCAATACAGTTTCAATTATTGAACAAAAAATCGGGAAATCACCTAAATATTGGGTAAATACTTCACGATTTTCCAGGTTCGTTATTTCATCAGTGATCCATTTTGAAACTAAACGTGAGTAAAACCACATCTTTCTAACAAACACAAAATAAACTACAATAAAACAATAAACCAATGATGTAATGAAGGACATTATTGCATTAAATGATGCAACACTTAAATTATTAATAAGTTTTTGTTTATTTCGACTATTAAAAAAGTCATCGATAACATAAAACAAACATTTAAACAATCAAGGTTATTAATCAATAGAGTCTAAAATAAAATAAACAGTTCAAAAATAAAAAAAACTTTTCAATTATAAGTCTTAATGTTATTAGGTATTTTCAAAAGTTTCCAAACAGCTCTAACAAAGAGTCTTAATGAAAACAAACATTTTGTAAATAAAATAATAATGTGTGTCATCTAAATTGTGATTATCGAAACTTTTCAGTTATTTTTTTAAACAATAGCAAAAGCAATTATATTTTTAATTATAAATAACTATAATTATAATATACATTTCAACAAAAAAGGAAATGAAACCATAAAATTACTTATAAAATGCACGTAAAGTACTATCCAACACCTTTCAATTTGATTGTTTTTATTGAACTTAGCAATACACGCCAATTTAAAGGTGTTTTGTTGAAATTGTTTCACGATGTTTTTTCCGTCGAGTTTTTCTTGAGCAAATACAACTTAAGAAGACGTACAAAGTTGTTATCAATGTATTTTTCACGGTTTTTCTTACTTTTTTCCGCTCCAAATAATCAAAATGCAGTTTTAACAGATTTATCTACCCGGCGGATAAAAGCGCTGCAATACCAATCATAAGCAAATTAATAAATTGTTTTTACCTTGTTTTTGTTTTGCCTCAAGTAAAAAAACATGAAAAAATACAAAAACTTAAAACCGATGCATACATTTTTTTACCAAATCAAAGCAATTGTAAAAACAAACTCACCCATAACGCCAAGATTTACCAAAAAATTGTGGTCTTTTTTCACGGCATAAAAATACTTTGTTAACCTTGTCTCAACAAAAACACACATGACATCACCAATATGTTGTTGGTTATCACCAAAAAGTTATGGCTGGCGCACTCCAGGCTAGCATGATAAAGCCTCCCTGTCTTTTCTAACTTTCACCTGCAAGGCGGAAAAAACGCTGCATTACCATTAATATATTTTTTATATTAATAAATGCAACACAAAACAGTTTTTGCCTCAAAAAATCGAGTTTTTGAGCATATCAGAACAAAGACACTGAAAACCAGGATGGACACATGCAAAGTCTTTTTCCCACTGCAAACGTTTTATTTCAAAACACTCGTCTTTTTACCATTTTCTTTACCATTTTTCGTGTTTTGTTTCAATTTTCGTAATAATTTTCAAAAAAGGAGTGAAAAAATATAACAAGTCGTATATATCTTGTTTGACAGGATTCTAAAAACGACTGGGTGTGGAGACACTCAACTTCGAGACATGTGGCACTTCAATGTGTTGTTTATCAGTTTGGCCACAAAATGCAGTTCTGAACGAATGAGGAATCCATTGGTATGGGGTGTGAAATTAAGGTGCACACCATCTTTCGTAAGAAAAGGCGTGAACGTTTAATTAAAAATTTAAACATTGTAAATAGAGACTGATGTTGTTTAGGGTGGTTGAGTGCCCACTGTTGAGTATTCAAGAAAAGACCACCTATTATTTTGATAAAAAAAATATAAAATATAAAATTTAAAATATAAAATATAAAATATAAAATATAAAATATAAAATATAAAATATAAAATATAAAATATAAAATATAAAATATAAAATATAAAATATAAAATATAAAATATAAAATATAAAATATAAAATATAAAATATAAAATATAAAATATAAAATATAAAATAAAAATAAAAATAAAAATAAAAATAAAAATAAAAATAAAAATAAAAATAAAAATAAAAATAAAAATAAAAATAAAAATAAAAATAAAAATAAAAATAAAAATAAAAATAAAAATAAAAATAAAACTGTGATTTCAAATAATTGCAATTAATTTTTATAAAATTAATATTTTGAATACTGAAACCAAATTTTGTAGTGACAGAACAGTTCTTGAACTGGATTGCAAAAGCGGAGCTTCAAGACGGTGAATTCTCCGCAATGACATACAGCTGATAAGATGGGACATATGTGGAGTTTGTTGAACCACAGCGTGATTTAGTTGGTGTTGTTTTGTATATGTATTACTACTACACACAAATGACACAAACAAAGGGATTAATTAAGGATAAAACAGACAAACAACGAATAAGAAATTTGGTGATTTTTTTGTTGTATAGAAATTGGAAAAATATGTAAAACCAGACTATTCGATATGGCAGGAAAGCAGCGATGGATGGACTTCTTTAATTGTTAGACTGCAGTACTATGGATTCACAAAAATTCAAGGTCACCACGGATTGTTAGCGGCTGCTATGATGGAAGAGAAGTATTTTAAAGATACTAAAAGAGCTGAATTACTGAGAAAGAGAGTGCAGGACCTATCGACTTCATTTGAGAAATTGTTCTGGAATGAAGAGAAAGGGTACTTAGTCCAAGTCATTTGGCATGACAACAAAAAGTGATTGTCGACACACCGACTAAAACTATGGCGTTCAGTGTCATTGTAGCGGATCAAATAAAGATAAAAAACAGTTTTATAACATTAAAAAGTTCAACGCGAAATTTTAATACGGTATTGCTAGACATCCACAAGACTCATACTTCTATTCTTCAAAGTGGAATAATGAAAGAAAAGAAGTCAGTGAAGCAAGCCCACTATTAGGAGTTGTCACAATGTTTATAAGTTGGGCTGAATTTTTTTAAGACGAATTCGACAATCATGCAGGCGTAATTAAAAAAAGATTGAATTGGATGATTAAACAAACCGGAAACAATTATATGCCATGCGGAGAAGCTGAAGACTAAATCACCGACGACCCAATTATGTCGTCAATGCCTGATATTTAGACAAAAATAAAGCTATATTTTTGTCCGCCAAATAACGTTTGAGACGAGATAACGTTTAAAAACTGACTCTTTAAACAATAAAATAATATCTTTTTAAGTTTTTAAAAATAAACATATTATTTTTTAATAGTATTTATTTTATTTTTTCATGAGTTGATATATTAAATTAACATATTATTGTTATAGTTTAAATTGTTAAAACTTAATTGTTAAAACTATAGAACTTTTTAATTCAAATTTTTAATGATTACGCCCAAATGTTTGTTTTATTATCTATTATTATAACATTTTGATGTATTATATAATTCAGTTGCAATCATTGTTGTAATTACTTTTGTTTATAGACCAATTTGTGGTTATCATTGTATATCATATATCGATTTGATATCAAATTATAATAATAAACTGGTTTTATTTATAGCAGTCTTTGATAAAAATAATCAACTTGAATTATTTTTTTACATATCTTAGAACCAAGTGGTTTTCAATATTCAAATTTTTAAGAATGGTTATTCTTTAATTTTTTTATAAACGTTGAATAATGAATATATTTTTTATAGAATTATTTTATTTTGTTAATAAAAACAATCGAAACATATTTATTTATAATACAAAGGCCTCTACAAGTATTTCGTTTATAAAAGTAAACAAATTATAATTTTCAACAGATGTAATTCATGTTTGTTATATGTCGGATTGTGGAAATTGGATAAAAGAAATAATAAATATCAACAAATACAGTAAAACCCACCAAGAACGGTACTTCTGAAAAGTGGGGTTTTTGAGAGTGTACGTTAACAACAAAATATTATTAAAGTATGAGTTAAGTACCTCAGTATATCAGGCACCTTTTATTTATTATATTGATCCTTTAAATATATAAATTAATTATCAATATTATTCGACACATCATCGAACACGTGTTCAAGCTTTAAAGCAGCTTTAAAAAGTCTTTACATATTGTCGCGGACTTTGTCACTTATCAGCTTTGTCTCTAGCTGCTATTCTTCTTTTCTATCTATATTTTTTTCCTTCGTTTTGTCAAGGCTTTATGTATTTTTTGTATTATTGAAATTTTTTATTAAAACTATTAAAACTATTATAATATTATTTAATACTTTTATATTATTTTTTATTTAAATTATAGTAAATATAAGGTATGTAGTATTTCAAAAAATAATTTTAAGTTCTATAACAAAAAATCAAAAAGGTGGACAAAATAATGTCTTTTTTAACAATTAAGTGTTAAGATAAAAGTTTAAATGAAACGAATTATTAATGAAGCATTATGATAATGAATATAATTACCATTTTGTCTGAACTTTTACAAAAATAATCATAATTCATTTGAATTGGTTAATTTATTTGGTTGTATTTCAATTTGAAATGTTTATAAAACAATCATAATAAATTTTCAAGTTGGTCCACTACTATCTCCATTTGTGGACGACTTTTGGGGTCCTGGCACCAACACAGAGCGATGATGTTGTACTGCTCTTCTTCTATTGGATCTTTTCTTTTCAGTCGATTGTTGTGAATTACAAACTCTGCGATTTTCCATGGAAATTTGAATGTGTCATTTTGGTAAGCCTCAGACCACCCAAAGACTTCATACATAGTGACTCCAAATGAAAAGACATCAGCTGGTTTTTTATATTTCTCTTTGTTTAAAATTTCCGGAGCCATATACACTGGAGTTCCAATACCTTTTGTGAATGTCATGTTGGTCATCAGCATGTTGACATTTCTCGCGCTTCCAAAGTCAGTCAATTTAGCATTGACTTTCTCAATCAAGTCAAGTGAAATAACAAGAATGTTGTCGGGCTTGATATCTCTGTGTAATATCCCATTTTCATGTAAATACAGTACACCTCTAGCTCCATCTATCAGCATTTTAACCCGAAGTTTCATTGGCGGAATTTGTTCATTTTTTCTGTGTTTGATCAAGTCTTGTAAACTGCCATATTGTGCAAATTGTGTGACCATACATATCTTGTTTGGTATAAAAACAGCTCCATAAAAGTGGACAATATACTCACTTCTAAATTTGTCTAACATTGACACTTCATTTTCGAATTCATCAATGAGTTTGTCTGTGTCATTTGACTGTTTCATTTTCTTGATAGCAACAACGTTTCCTCTGTAAGTTCCTTTGTAGACAATTCCAAACGAGCCTTCACCAAGTTTCTTGTCTTCTTTCAACTCGTCGTAATCTAATTTTGTCGAGTTTTCTGTTGTGATTTCAATGGCAATTGGAACAGACACAGTCTCGCCATTTTCGATGTTCATTGTGACTATCATCATCTCGTCGTGCAATTTCAGTGAACAGTGCGGTGTCACAAATACCTCAAATTCGCATGCTTCGCCTTTCTTCAGAGTCACCAATTGCGGCTCTGTGCGAATTGAGTATTTATCACAGCCGCCACGTGTTGTGATTTGGACTTTCAAAATGCCTTTGCCTTTGTTGCCAACACAGAGAAGTTCACGTGATTCTTTTTCGACGGGAATGACTTCACTGGTGTCATCAAATGTCAGCGACTTTTTGTTTGTCATGACATTGTCATTTAACACACTCATTGCGATGTTTGAACGACTCATCTTAAAAACACAGATATTTTCCATTTTCTTTGTTTCCTTGCGCTTTTGTAAAACGACTATTGTAATTACAATAATACCTATGATAATGAGTACTATAATGAAAACGGAGACAATTGGGATGCCAACTACAACGCCGTAATTTGTTGTGTGAATGCAACTCAACATGTCGTCACTCAACTTGTAGTTGTCATCACATTTTGAACATTTGTTGTTGGCAGATTCAACACAGTTTTCGATGGTTGTGTAATGCGAACAAACACCTGTCACAAGAACGCTGTATTTTACACAGTCGGTGCACTCATCGATGCCATAACATTGTGTACACGTGTCTTGACACTTCACACACAAATTGTTGGAGAGATAATACCCACTTTCGCATAGCATACAACCAACTGTTGTTTTGTTTGCACACGAAGTCAACTCGCTTTGTGGAGAACACAATTTGGTGACATTTGATGACGTACGATAAAATGCCTCTTCGCACACAACACAGTTTCCTTCGTTTGTGCACGACTTGCATGACACATCACAGCTTATGCATGTTGACCCATCAGATGACCGCATGTACCCATCTTTACAAGTTACACACCCGCGATATGTTGACATCAACACGTCACACACACTGACAAGTGCGTTGATTTCAGTGCAAACGCCGTTGCTGTTTGCATACGAGTAGTCGTCACACTTTGTGCAGAATGTCCGATTCGAACAGTAGACACAGGGATACTCACACTTCACACACATCCGGTCTGCGAGGTAATACCCACTGAGGCACCTCAGACACCCCTTTGTGGTGCTCACTTCACAGTGGCTGTCTGTCTGTGTGTCTACGTTTTTAGTTGTTTGTTTGGTGGTCTCATTTGGAAGTGTTTGTGGCACACACGAAATTCCATTGAAATTGTAATCGGACTCACACTCGACACATTTGGTGTTGAGTGACGAGACAACACCACAATTAGACAAAACGCCAGTCTTCTCTTTGCAGCCATCAACATCTTTGTAATAGCCACTCTCACATGTGACACACACTTTGTCAAATGAACTGCAATGAATTGACTGGGTGTCTGTGCACACACCGTCAACGTTGATGGAGTTGTTACACACGATGCAAATATCTCCATTTTGGTTGTCACAATTTGCACTGTTTTGTGAGCATTTTCCTTGTGAGATGTGTTGTTTTGAATTACACTTAGTACAATCACCATATGATATTACAGAACACATAGTATTAGTTGTACACACGCCATCTATCAACAATTTGTTTTCTTTACATTTCAAATCGGTGATAACTCCATTTGAAATGACACACACTTCACTCTCACACTGTTCAACGGTGTTGTCGTTTGTTGTGTGATATCCACTGATTGCCAAGTAGCAGTACTCATTGTGTGATGTTTCACAATTTTGTTTTGCTTTGCCACACGACACGTCATCAACACAATACAAACACTCGGTGCCAATTTCTCTGTTGATTTCATATTTACAATTTGTGTTAACAACACAATTGCCATTTGATGTGATCACATCTGAAACGCATTTGTCACAGCCGTGTTGCGAGTATTTCTCACACTTCTCGTGCTTAACATTACAAACACTGTTTAACAACATTGTTGTTGTATCACACGAATAACACATTGTATCGATTTGGTTGATGCACCCATCCATGTTGGTGCGTAATTGGTGGTCATATGTGTTGTAGTATGTTGTAGTTGTGTATCCCAAATTGCACGCCTTCAAGTCACTTGAAGTGACGTATGGCGCAAAACATGTGGTGCAAATGTGTTGATTATTGACAAAGTCTGCAATCTGACACTTTGGGATGACATTGTACGAGTAGTCGCATGTCGTTTCTGTGACTTTGACCATCCCAACTTCACATGCAACGCAACTGGTGCCAGTTGATATCATGTTGCCTGCACATGAGAGACACGTTTTTGTTGTTTTTGAACACGTCAGACAGTCGTTGTGAATATCACTACATGGTTGACAGTCGGCACTTTCATTCAAATAAAATCCATCTTCACATGATACACAAATACCATCTGATGTCTCGTCTGTGCACAAATCGAATATCCAGATGGAGCACACGACACACAGCTGTTGTCAACTCTCTTGTTGCCGACTTCGCACGATGTGCATGCACCACTTTTTCTGTCACATTTCTTACATTCAGTGGAACACTGTTGGCACTGCAAAACACCGCCTTCTGAATATGTGAGGTCGCCACACAATGTACACACTCCATTGTCAAAGCCATATCCAGCAGCACATATGAGACATTTTCCATCTGTTGCATTGCACCTTGCACACGAAGAGTCACACAACTTGCAGGTGGTTTGTCCAACAACATCTTGGTATGCCATCTCACCACAACTCTGACACACAGAACTCATGTAGTAAGTTCCCTTTGGACATATGGCACACTTCCCAGCTGCAAGACCATACCCAGTCACACAGTTGACACAATACCCATTTGTCGCATCACACCCATCACAATGACTGTCACATTGCTGACAAGATGGTGAACCAGCAGTTGAGTATGTCATCTCTCCACAACTTTTGCACTCAAAAGAGCCTTCACCAGCATAGGTACCCGCCTTGCATGTGTCACAATTGTTTGTTGTTTGATTTGCCATTGTTCCCGAATTGCACAGTGAACACACTCCATTCGAATAAACAGCACCACTCACACAGGCTACACACTTGCCACTTGTTCTTTCACATGGTCCTTGACACAAAACATTACACGTTTTGCAACTTGTTGATCCTGTTGTGTTGGCATAAGTCCCATCTGCACATGTAGAACATTGCAAACTTTTTGGTGATGATGAATATGTCCCAAGTGGACAATACTCACAATTATTTGCAACACTGTATGTACCAGCACTGCAAATAGAACATGTTGTAGTTGTAATTCCCATACCCGACTCACACGACGTGCAATACCCATTTGTCTTATCACAACTCAAACACGTCGAACTGCAACTTTTGCACGTTGTGCTTCCCGCCAACGAGTATTGCATGTCGGCACACGTTACACAACTTCCACCACTTTGGTACGTGCCAGCTGAACATGTGTCACACATTTTACCGTTCAGAAAATATCCATCATAACAAGATAAACAATTTCCATTTGTTTGGTCGCATGTTTTGCAACTTGTCGAACATGCTGTACACCCACTTGAACCACCGAGTGAGTAATCCCCAGTCGCACACTTTGAACACAACGAAGTTCCACCACTCGAATAATACGATGCGGGACATATCGAACAGTTCTTATTTGACGAATCGTACGAATAGCCAACATTACATGAAATGCACTCCCCCGTCGTTTTTGAACACACTCCACAACTCGTGGAAACACATTGTACACACGTCGAACTTCCAGATGTGGAATAAAACCCATCCGCACACGTTTTACACGACGAACTTCCTTGTTCATCTGCATAAGTTCCTGCTCTACAATCAGTACAATAAGCACTTCCGCTGCTCGAATATGTTCCTCGACCACACGTCACGCATTTTGTTGATGACACTGTGTATTCAGAGCGTGTTCCTGCAGCACATTCTGTGCATTTTGCACTGCCAGAAGATATCGAATAATACCCACCTTCACACGAAGTGCATGTAGATGCCCCTTTATTTGAATAATACCCTGCATTACATGGATTACAAGACGAAGCCCCAGTACTATTTGAATGTGTTCCAGCAGTACACTGTGTACAACTTGGTGATCCCAAAGAAGAATAAGATCCAGCATTACAACTTGTGCATTTGGAAGACCCGGATGATGAATATGTACCAGCTGAACAAGTTGAACATGAAGAAGCTCCGCTACTGGAATAAGATCCCGCACTGCATTTCGTGCATTTAGAAGCACCAGTACTAGAATACGTTCCCGCTGAACAAGTTGAACATGAAGTAGACCCAGTACTCGAAGCGTATTTACCAGTAGAACACTGGGTACACGACGATGACCCAGAGCTTAAGGCATAAGATCCAGGAGAACACTTTGTACATGATGAAGAACCGGAGTTTGAATACGAGCCAGAAGGACATGAAATACATGATGTCGTTGTACCACCCGAAGAATAAGTCCCCGCTCGACAAGAAAAACAAATCGTTCCAGAAAGGTACTGCCCACTACTACATGATGTTGCGGCAAACACTCTCGTTGTTAATAAAAACAGACATAACATGAATTTAATAAATTATTCAATTGAATTAAACAAGTTCATTTTGTAAACTTTTATGTTTTTTAATTATACTAAAGTTTGTTTTTAAACGTTATCTGGTTTATTTTGGACCAAAAAATTAAAATATTTCGGGAAGCAGTCCCAAAAATTTATTTCAATTGTTTCGTGTTTTTTTAAGTATTATTTAATGCCCGTAGTTTAAACAAAATTAAAACTATTTTATGTTTAATAGATAACGTTAAAAAGCCGACTTTATATTTATTAATTATAATATATATTTTTTTTAATTAATAATAACCTATAAAAACACATTAAAAGTTATTTTAACGAAATAACCGTTAAACAAAAAAAAACAATTTAATCAAACTTAAAAAAATTTCTATTAAAGATATTAATTCTTTTATAGTTTTTGACTAATTATGAAAAGCATGATTAATTAAATCGATTATTTAATTGTTAAAAGTTTAATTCACAATTAGAGCCAAATAAAATCTTTTAACTCGCCGACGTACTTAATTCCCATCAAACCAATACTGTAAAAAAAGTACAGTCTGTTTTTAAATGTTATCTGATGCCTTTTGGACCATATAGATTGAAATATTTCGTAGAAGCCGTCCCAAAAACCCATCCCAATTGTTTCGGGGTTTTTCACGCTTTACCTAATGCCCGATGTTTAGACAATATTAAAACTATTTTTTGTCCACAAGATACGTTAAAAACATATTCGGGTCGTTACGAAACCCCTATAATTTTCTAAAACCCCAAATCGTCGATTGATTGGTCAAAACCAGAAAAAAAATATTATATATTTAGAAACAACATTTTCGGATAACGATTGCAAGCCAACTCCACAAACTTGTTGTTGAAACGTGTTCTCCGATGTCACTTCTTGTGGTTTTACACGAGACGCGGCTTGTTATAATCATGTATTGAACAGTTATAAACAAATATATTTTTTTATAATTTCCATTTGTATAATTTGTTTTTGTTTTTGTTATACAACACTTCTAATTGTCCAATTTTATATCGTACTTGTTCTGAATAACTTCGTAATTAATGTTCTTTGAAGCTTGAGGAATTTAAGACAAATTGATGGGTTTTTACCATACCTGTAAATTACTTATTTTAAAATAATGAATAAATTAATACCTGTACATTGACCATCATATGTTATTTATGGAAAAGGCTCAAAAAAATAAAAAAAACAGACAGACTACAAAAATTATTAAAACCAATGCATGTTGTTCATTTTACACAATTCAAAAAAGTATGATGGTTAAATTCACTTTCCAGCACACTGAATACGACAGTTTATGTTTACCGATTAAACTTGAATAACTTGGTTTTTTTCTTAAGTCTCTATATTTTTTAAAAATTAACACAATCACATATAGTTTCATTAATAGTAAAAGTAAACCAGAAGAATTACCATTTTTTCAAAAAAATAAAACTTATAACCATATTATAACATTCCACAATCGCATAATTTATCTCTAAATTTCATGTAATAAAACACTTATGGGATATAAAATATGTAAAAAAACAACATTTTAAATTGTTTTTGATTTTTAGGGTTTTTTCAAAAAAAACAAAAAAGTGATAAATTATCCCGATAATTTACATAATATTAATCATATATCAAAATAAAAAATTATAATTATTTGTGTTATATTTTTTAGTAAATACATATTTTTTAATAATTACAAAAACAATTATGAGATCAAAATTATATTCTTTTTTATTCGAAAACAGAAAAACCAAATGTTTTTTGTTTTTTTCATTTTTTTGTGAAAAAACATGGTTCTTTTTTAATTTTTAGTGAGATACAAATTATTAGATCACAACAAAAAGGCAATATTAGCCTTTTTGTGAAAAAACATGGTTCATTTTAAATTTTTAGTTTTATATTAATTATTAGATTATTGTTAATTCAGATTGATTATTTATGACCCAAACTATTAATCACAAAACAACTGTATCAATTTCCTTAATACCTGATCAACAATTCAAAATAAACCAAATTTCGAATCTGTTACAATGAAAATGACATATTTAATTTTCCAAATTTAAGAAAATTCATATTATTTACAAAAATATGATGAACTTTTTAAATTTTCTTTTTTTGTTTTTAATGTTCTTTTCTTTTTTTCTTTATATTTGTTTATTTTACTGAATTTAAACAATTTAAACAATTATATTATATTTGAAATTTAAAATAAATTATTTTTATATTAATAAACTATACTTTAAGGTCATATAAATACAAATTATCACAGGTTCTTGAATATATTTATATATCAATTAAAAATAAATGGATTTGGTTATTTTTTTGGAGACGAAAATTCATAAACAACTTAATTATTCAATTAATTAAACATTAATTATTTGATTAAAATCAAAATTATATAGTAAACTGTGTAATTTTAGTTTCATGATTTTTTTTAACGTGTTTATTTTTTAATATATAGTTTAATACAATTATTATTATGGTTTATTTTTTTGTTTGTTTTACATTTATTCTTTTATGTAAAATAAATTTATAGGTTCAAACAATAGTTCATTTTAATTGTTTATAGTTATGAATAATGAGTTCAAACTCATTAATTTTAAGTTTGGTCAAAACTTGAATGTCTTTTTTGATTAACACTTTCACAACCCAAAACTTTTTTTAAGAAGAAAAATAAGTAAAAAGGAAATTGTCCAAATCATTTTTTATTATTTTTATTCAAAAACCCCTTTCTAACCCAAACCGGCCAATAGTCAGTTTTATTTTACTTAAAACAATTAACAAATGAGAACTCAATTACCTAAGATGATCAAAAATAATCTTTTGGATGAAATTTCATATCACTTTATCGTGTTTCAACACTTAATATAAAAACTCTACATCGTCAATCCACTTTATGACAAACAATGTCAAATAGTCACACTAACAAATATAACGACAATATAAACACCAATATCGTTATAATCAAATGACAATATTCTCTTTATAAAAAAACAACCAAATATATTAAACCATCATTAGACCCCATCTTTCTTTTTTAAGCTTTGCTCTTGTTTTACACAAACAAACTCATTCATGTTTATTTGTGTGACTATAAAATATACAATTCAAATTTGAGTTGATACAAAAATAAATAAAAAATTTCAAAATTTTGTTTTGTGTATGAAGGCAAAAAAAGGGTTTAGGTAAAAGAAAAAAAATAAAAATTAATAATTATTACGTTTCGGTTTTGAACGTGTTAATCATTTAAAAAATTTACACCAAACATTATTTCTTATTAAACATAAAAAAAATATAAAAAACTGCAATAAATATGATTTTTGTATTAATATTGTTGTTATTTTTTTGTCAAACACATTAGATGATTTTCTAAATACATCAACCTATTATATTTAGTATTTAAAGAATTAAATTCAATCAATACTAAAATAGACAGTTGATTAACTATCATAGGCCAATTTTAAAATTAGTTGAACTTGTTTTTAATATAGCTTTTAAACATTTTCGAATAACCTTTATTGTATTTTATCTATAATATATGTATTTACAAATTATATTTTAATAAAAATATTTTAAAATCATTTTTTATTTGTCTTATTTTGAAATATATATATATTCAAACTATTAGCTAGTGAAAAAATAATATCAATTGTAATATGTAAATTAAATGTTATATTTCATTACACATATCATAAAACGTTTAAACATCTTAAAATATAAAATATCGTCTCAAAATTAAATATTAGTAATAATTTTTGAATGTAAAAACAGAACATAAACAATTTTCTTTAAATAATATAAAGATTTTTCAAATATTGTTCTTTTGTTTATTGTGTGTTATTCAAATAACGTTTTAAAAACAATACTCTGAAAAATTATGTTATTATCTTTTAATTATGTCTTATATATTTTTCAATAATATTATTTATCTAATTAATGATTTGAGTTAAATTGTTATTTAATTCTACTCAACAAAAATAATTCTCTGTTTATTTTCAATATTGTTTTAACTGTATGTTTTAAAAATGATTAAAACCACAATCAATTAATAAATAAAATGTATATAATTAAAAAGCATTTTTAAAATCAATTAAAAAACAAATATTAATGTTTTTTGTCATTTTTGTTTAAAGTCTTCTTTTCTAAATTTTATAAAAATATTATTACACATAATAGTTAGTAACTCTTCAATGATACAATATACTGAACATAAACAAATATATTGTTTTCAACTCAAAAAAGTGTCTGTTTTAATGATCTAAATTAATTATGTGGTATTTTATGTTCCGGTCTTAAATTACTTGTTTACACATGAAAATATGAAAAGTTTTAATATTTAATCATCCAATCTTAAAATTGTAGATTGATGATAGAATCAATTGTTTAATTTGTGATTGGAATATAATTATAATGATTATTTTTGAATGATTTATAACTATCGTTAGGAAATGTATATATATGTTTTACATATTGATAACTATGAAAGTGTTAATATTAAATCACTTGATAAACACAAGTGTGATGTTAATAGATAATAAATATTTTTTGTGTGTAATCATTTTTAAATAACATGTCACAACATTTATAAATTAAAGACCAACAGAAAATAGTCGTACAGCAAGAAAATTGTTTTACACTCGTGATTTTAGTATCAAACAAACTAAAAAATCTGGATTATTTTTTCACTTATAGAATTTGGCTAAACAATCAGGGAAAAAATGGGTTTTGAAAAAATAATAACCCGACTTTATAAAGAAAAATAATATAAAACAACTTGTAAGACTATTTTCTGATGTACGACAGTTTTGTGGTTCTCTTTATTATTAAATTTTTATACATGAATACTCATTTTCAAATGTATTTGGATTTAAATAAAAATAATGAATTTGTTCAAACAATTATTGTTAATAATTTGTGTTACTTAAGGAGTTTTTAATTAAAAATGGTGTGGTAATAATTAAAACAAAGTATATCAAAGGTTGGTATTTTTTAATAT